CCAATGCATTGAATAGACTAATCAATTATAATAATAAAGTTAAAGCTCTGCGCCTTCTTCGCTTATAACAAGGTTCTGTCAATTGATTTAACACCGCCTGAACATCTCACTCTATTGATAATTGTACGGGTTCTGTTTAATCAGCACTTAATGTTCAATTAACTATATAATTTTTAGGGTTTAGGGTTTAATTTTTTTTTCCCATTATTTCTCCCACCATCCATAAAGATTCTGCGCTGACCACCCCTCACTCTCTGTTGACCATCGTGCGCGTGTTGTTGGATTTGTGCCTTCGCGAGAATTGCCCTGAACTCGCTACCGGCGCACTGCGACTACTCATTCGTCACTTTACGCAACGTGAAGAGGCTGTCGAAGCCTTTGCTCAGGTAGGTATATGTATATTTGTGTGTGTGTATGTGTATATGTTTATGCATGTACTTAGGTATTTGTATGTATATATGTATGTGTGCTTAAGCATTTTGCATATGCATCTGTGTATGTACGTGTAGTACTATGTATATTTATTCAATAACAAAATAGATGTTCGTATATATATATATATATATATATATATAATTGATGTCTGAAATTTGTTGCAGGTGCAATTGCTTGTGAGTGGCCAGAGTGTATCCAACTACCTGGCAATTAAGGCTGATTTAGACCAATTGCGCGTCATGGTGGAGAAGAGTGAGCTATGGGTGTACAAGAGCACCGCAGTCGATGGTATGTGCAACGTACGGATTGTAGTAGTCCGTTTTAGCTATCCCGTTGTAGTTGTCCACATATAGTTATCCCGTTATAATTGTCCATATATAGTTATCCCGTTATAGTGCTGTCCCGTTATAGTTGTCCAAATATAGTTATCCAATTATACTTATCCCGTTATAGTTGTCCAAATATAGTTATCCCGTTAAAGTTGTCCCGTTCTAATTGTCCATATATAGTTGTCCCGTTATAGTGTTGTCCCGATGTAGTTGTGTCGTTATAGTTTTCAACATATCGCTGAGCAGTATATCTACTGGTACGTGTGCGATGGCGTACATTATCATATGTTCTGTCATTGTATGTTGTATTTCGATGTACCTGTCCTCCAGACGGTCCTAAACTAGTTGTAAGTGGGACAGGTGCAGAAACGTGAGTTATAGGTGCAGTTGTGCACCTGTCTGTAGTATGTTGGTATTCCTGTCCTCCAGACGGTCCTAAAGTAGTTGAACGTCGGACAGGTGCAGAAGAGTGAGTTATGGGTGCAGATGTGCACCTGTCTGTGGTATGTTGGTACACCTGTCCTCCAGACGGTCCTAAACTAGTTGTACGTGGGACAGGTGCAGAAGAGTGAGTTATGGGTGCAGTTGTGCACCTGTCTGTGGTAGGTGGGTACTGTATGCTGGTACTCGATATGTGCAGGCTACTATCTGTCTCGGTGTTCTCGAGCTAGTCATACCTGGGGTGTGTGTGCATTCATGTAGAATATATACCAGGGGTGTGTGTGTCTTTATGTGTATGTGTCTGAAGAATATACCAAGGTTGTGTATGTATTGATGTGTATGTATCTATCATATATACCCCAAGGATATACACCTGTGGTAATTGCACAGTACAACCGTTGTTCACGCCATATCATGTCACTTGTCACGTGTCACATGTCACGTGTCACAAGTCACACGTCACATGTCCTCGTACCCAATACAGTTGGCAGCCAGTTGAATGCCAAGCTGTCCAATTCCGGTGTCAAAGGGACTCTGTCGAGTGGCTCGGGTGTGGGCTACGGCAGCACATCGGACCTGAGCGGTAGCAAACTGGCCAAAATGTCATCTCAAAGCAAACGTATGTGGTGCAAAATGTCATCTCAAAGCAAACGTATGTAGTGCAAAATGCCATCTCAAAGCAAACGTATGTGGTGCACAATGTCATCTCAAAGCAAACGTATGTGGTGCAAAATGTCATCTCAAAGCAAACGTATGTGGTGCAAAATGTCATCTCAAAGCAAACGTATGTGGTGCAAAATGTCATCTCAAAGCAAACGTATGTGGTGCAAAATGGCATCTCAAAGCAAACGTATGTAGTGCAAATTGTCATCTCAAAGCAAACGTATGTGGTGCAAAATGTCGACTCAAAGCAAACGTATCTAGTGCAAAATCTCATCTCAAATCAAACGTATGCGGTGCAGGAGGATACTGTGGGCATAGAGCGGGCAGGTGTATGTCTCCTGCCACTGGGGGTGGCGATTATTGTGTTTATGTAGGCATGTGTGTGTGTCTATGGACCGCGACTTGTCGTAAACTGTGTGAGAATTGGTTTGATATGTACAACGTGTCTGGCTGGGGTCGAGCTTAGCTATAGGAGTATGTAGATAGTCTGAAGTACGCGTGTGGTTATCAGTTGATGGAATACGTAAACGTAGTGGGCTGCAGTCCACATGTGCATAGCAATCATTGTGGTCAACACTACACGTACAGAGATTGTGCCTCATATTAATGCAATGAGTGTCGCGTTGGCTCTT